ATCGAATTTTATGTAATCCATGATCAAATTTTATGTAATCCATGATCGAATTTTTTGTAATCCATGATTGAATTTTTTGAAAATTTGTGATTTTTTTTTTAAATCCATGATCGAATTTTTTTTTGTAATCCATGATAGAATTTTTTAAAAATTTGTGATTTTTTTTTTTTAATCCATGATCGAATTTTTTTTTGTAATCCATGATAGAATATTTTGAAAATTTTTGATTTTTTTTTTTTTAATCCATGATTGATTTTTTTGAAAATTTGTTATTTTTTTTTTAATCCATATTATTCAAAGAGAAAATGAAAGAGATGATGATTCTGAGGCCACCCTATCCCAGCCATATTATTCACATATCGAGTCCCAACGGCAACAGTGTAGGGATGAGCACGACAGTGTAGGTGAGCATGAAGAATGGACAAGCTTCGGGGATTTTGGATTGAGAACACAACAAAACACTAACACTAAGGAATTTGGGAATAGTCAGACGCCTGCTAATATCGATGATTCGGTTTTAGATCGAATCAATGAATTGTCAAATGAATTCAATCAATGAAACCAATGTGACCAAGAAGAACAACAACGTCATCTATTATTTTATTTTTAGATCGTATGTTACTAATTTTATGCTTTATTGTAGTCTATGTATGTTGATATACTTATTCCATGATAATTATATGTTCATCCTTTTGTGTGATGTAAATTAAATGCTGAATGGCGGTTCATGCAGGGAAAGAACATATCAATATTCGCATATTCATTCAAAAACATGAAAATTCTTAATGGAGTACCCTCATTTCTTATTGAATTCCTAAAAAACAATATTTATAATGAATTTTAATAATTTTCTCGGATTTTTTTTAAGCTTTATTCTGACCGATTCACCAGATTCCCGATCCGGATTGCCGATTCGCCGATCCGGCTCGATTTTTTAAAAGCCCGATCCGGGTCACCGATCCGTTTTTTAAACCATTGATAAAAACTAACAAGAGAAAATCTAGGTTCCCCTATGTGGCAACAAGACGGAACTGGGCCAATCCATTCTTGGATCTAGTGCGGCCTTTGTCCTTACAAGCTAGAATGAAGCCACGGCTCGGCTGGGCAAAACACAAATGTAGAAGAATAAAATGGTCACAATAAAAAAGAAAAAGAGGGGTCAATCCGGGCCGGAATTGACCATTGGGCCATTTGTGACCCAATAGTGTGTCAAGAGGTTGGGTCGGGTCGGGTCTGGGTTGGCCAGAACCCTGACTTGACTGAAAAAAGGGTCCCACATGGATCCAAACTTGTCTCGAGTCACTTGGACCTAGACCCAAGCAAGGTTCAAGTGATTTTATCATTATACTCAACAAATTTTATACCCTTGTTATCATTATACTCAACAAAATTTGGATACTTTTATAATCTTGTTTTGTACGTGGATCATTTTTTTAATAAGGATATTTTTAGTCATTAGAAGGGGCGTGATGTCATTCACATAGGTGTGTTGTCATCTTTATAGGTGAGACATCACCACATAGAGCACACTAGTTGCGTTTAATGCTCAATGTGGGTAATGTCACACCTAGTGTATATGACATCACACCTATCCTAATGACAAAAAATACACTTACAAAAAAAAACTCTATGTATAAAACAAATGCATAAGTGTCCAAATTTTGTAGAGTACAATGATAAATTACTTCATAGTATAACCTAGGTTTTAAACAATAAAATTGGAGCCTACCTACAAATAGTGTGGAGAAATGTGGTATTAATACTGAAAATCATTGTGATAGTCTTAAAATATATTTTCATCTTTATTCATAAAGTTTAAAACTTCAAAAATAGTATAGATCAACAGATATATGAAAAATTGAAAATTGATGGTCCAAAAATACGTTACAAAATACACTATTTCCAAAACTTGAAATCCATTTATTTCTCATGTCCATGCATTTGATGTTGAAATGATCAATTTGAAGATATTTAGACATCAAAACAACATCTTCTAATGAAATTTTTGAGGCAGGCTCTAATTTGATTGTTTAGAGCCTTGGCTCTATATAAACTTTTTCCATATATATATATATATATATATATATTATAGTAAA